CAGTTTGGTGTTGAACCTGGATGCCAGGAGATCCAGGACTAGTGTACTCCACCAGCAATAGAGAGTTTGAATTACATCCAGATGCAAACACCATTCTTTGAGATCTGACATTTATGGATGAGTGGAATTTGCTTGCCAATCTTTCACATCTGGGATGTGCAAGACAGACAGGGCTAGAGCATGAAGTTCTGCCCAAGCCAGAACCAGATCAGCTTCTCCAAGATCTGCGTGACTTCTGGTGCCCCCGACTGATGTATGCCAAACTGTACTGCTGTCTTACTGAAATCTGGTTAAGTGAACCTGAAGCCAGGATGTCCCCACACAAAAGTGTGGGGCAGCTGAAAAGAGCTTCAGATGTTGGGAGTACAGAAGGCTCTGTCAGAATGGATCCAGATTCTCTAGCCATACGTTTAGCCTGGACTGCTAGGGCCTGACAAACAGCCATGGTGGCAATAGAAGGTTGTGTGGCCATGCAGGGCCTTGAAAAAGGTTTCAAATCTCTTATCCACTAAGACTCTGGACACCAAACTGTCTTCCAGACCCGGTGTCTACGGCTGGAAGCAGTGTGAGCAAAGAGGCTCCCAGATAGCACACACCTGCACAGAATGGTCTGCAGGAAGGACATATGCATGCGCACTCACAGACCTGGGCGCACCAAAAAGGTCAAAAAAGGACAATAGACAAAATTGCAGCAAATTTAAAATATGGTGCCCACAACCGGCCTCTCCTGCCCATGGCTGCAACATGTTTCTAAGGTGTGCCAGGCATCGGTCCCACAGCAACCCCTAATGGTTTGGAGCAGCAGCACCCTGGGACTCCCATTGTGGGGAAAGAGACTTACCACCAGTCTTCTTCAGAGGACCAGCACAACCAACTGGGGGTGACAGACAGAGTCACCACTCTATCTTCTCCCTCCCGGTGGGCATACACCTGTAGAGCTCAAGTGGTAGCTGGACTTGTAAAGCCTCTTTAAGCTACTCAACACGTTGCACCATGTGCCAAGGATGCGTGTGCAATGCAGGATCCAGTGGTGGCCGAAGTAACATTACAGGCCAGAACCCCTTCTTTTTCCAGGTGGGGTCCAGGTATGGCCTCCAAGGTCCAGGCTGAGACGCATCAGATCTGTAAAACTGCCAAGAACAACCAGTTTGTGCAAAACAGCAGCAGGATACCAAATTGGTAGAAGAAAGAAAAAAAAAAGGTACTAGAAAAAAGGTAACTCCTTTCATGCGTGAGGGAAGTTGTCCATTACCTAAGGAGCAATAATCTAAGGATGTATTGGGAATTGGAGGGGTTAATCAAGGCTGTCCCTTTTAACTTTACTTTGCCAGTGTCCAATCACCTGGAGGTGGCGCATAAATCAAGTAACCCTTTGTCCTGTGATGTACGATTAAGAAACACAAAATAAAAATCTAGCAGAGAGTGGAAACATATGTCTATCACGGAGTCTGTAAGACCGTACCAATTTTTCAGGTAGTTTAAAGAAAATCTAAACCAGGACGGCATTTAGTTTTCTAAAGCATTGTGTATTATAAACAATTCAATTCTAATCATAGAATAAAGGTTTTCAACCTATTTTTCTTCCATTTTTGGATCTCAGTGCTGCTGATCTCTTCCAGCCTCTCAGCTGTTTCCTGTGTACATGCACTCACTCCAGCATTAGTCTGTAGTCTCCACCAAGGGACCATGTGACAGGGTCACAGTGCAAGAGTACCCCTGGGAGACAGTTGTCAACCCCATAAAAGGAAGTACCTGAATAAGGACCTCAAAGGCAATGGCAGATATCATTTTAATGAAACCTGCAGATTTAAAAAGAATTAAAAACCACTTGTTAAAATCTATAGGGTTTTAAAGTGTATTTCCACTTTTGCAGTCAAATTTGAGAAAACCCCTCTATATGTTCGTTGTGTGTTCCCATTCACACAGCATCTTGAAAAATAACTTCTAAAAATATTTCTTACCTTTTAAATGTTTTGTTAAAGCAGGCAAGATGGCTGATTCCAGGTTTTTCACAGCCCTGTTACAGTGACCTGTCCTAATGGAAAGACTTAGGACTGAAATTTGAGGATTGTATTTATCTGATAAGCTTCATTAGCATACAATGAACAAGCCACCTTAAACCCCTCATAGCCACTCCTAACATTTCAAAGAAATAGAAGCAAGAATACATTTTACCCTTAAACTCTGACCCAAGTAAAAGCAATTTCAACTGCAAGAAGCATGTTTGAATTTTAATTTTTAGCTTGTGCTATGTGAATAGGAACATGTAACAAATATAAAATAAGTGTTGTCCCAACTTGGCTGCAAATGTGGAAATACACTTTAAGCTTTTATGACATTTTAATAATGGATGCACCGAAATTTCGGCTGACGACACGGCACTTTTGGCAAGATGCCGAAAGTGCCATCTTGTGGCCAAAATGCGGTACACGCCTGGTTTCTCTCCTCCCCACTGGGTAGTGCTCTGTGTCCTCTGACACAGCACAGCATCCTGCGGGCAGGAGAGATACTGTCACAGGAGGCTGAACGGTGCGGGGGAGCAGAGCGATGAGTGGCCGGCGTGTCACAAGGCCGGCTCTCCTCACGCACCACCTCACAGGAGGAGGTGCAGCGGCGGAGACAGCTGTAAGAGGAGGCCTCCCCGCACTGCTCAGCCTCCTGTGACAGCGAGTCAGGATGGAGAGCGGGTACAAGCACACAGTGATCGCTGAGTGTTTATAAATAATTGAGGACATAGTATGCTTACTGTGTCCCCAATTATGAATGAATGGGAAGTGATCTACATCACTTCCTGTTCATTGATGATTGTGGTTATAGTAAACATACTATCTCCACAAGTTATCGATGAACAGGAAAACTCAGTATAGAGGATTCCTGTACATTTACAACAGGGGCTGCAGAAAAAGAGATTGAGTGCTCTGTGTCCTCAATCTCCTTTTCTATTTTAAAAAGGGAAATATCAGGGATCTGTTTAAGTCCTGATATTTCACCAAAGTCCCTAAAAGTAAAGTAAAAAAAATAAAAATAAAAACTTTATAAAAATTAAATAAAAATAAAATATTTTTTTTAAAAACTTGAAAAAAAAGGTTAGAATTATTTTTTTTCCGTTTCAGCCTAACCTTTAACGTGTACCTCTAATTTTAATGACTAGGTTTACATCTGCTTTAGTGCTCTAGCATCTACTAAAAAAAGGAAATATCAGTTTTGGGTGGACTGACCCTTTAACATGTATAGCACTGATTAAACATACTACTTTAGTGTCACAGAACTGTTCTTCTCAAGGAAAGAATACAAATTACATGTTTACAGCAGACTGTAGACTTTATTCTCAGCTTGGAAAAATCAAGTAAACCATCTTGTTAAAGGTGCAACCATCAATGCTTTATTCATTTCTGCAACACCCTAAGACAGAAGTTTCTCTTTCATGTGCAAGAATCTCCAAAAGCTCCACTGTACCTGACTGGAGCCATCTCCTGTGATGTCCTGAAGAATTCACTTAATTTATCATTGCTTACTTCCTTATAGAAGATCTCTTTTCAGTCATTTAAAATGAGTACCTGTCATTATAAACAACTTTAACTAGAAGAATATAGTACTAAAAAGAAAGGAATAAATAGTTATGGTGTGAAAAATACAGCCCCACAGGTGTGAAAAATGAATGTGTCTAAATTAAGCAAAAAAAAAACATTTTGGCATACACTGCTCTTATTGTAAGGCTAGTTCAATAAGCTCATTTCAAGTGTCTGCAGTGATACTGACTGTTAAATACTGTGATGTGGATCCTTACTACAGAACATTGTGTCTGTACCATGTAAGTTTCAAAACATAAAACAATCAAATGGAACTGTTGCACCTTTAAACAGATTTTATATAGAGCTGGCTCTTTTTATAAATACAGTTATTAAAACAAAAATTATAATTTTTTCACATTTTCTATAGTAACTACGTCAACAAAATTGCAGAGGAAATTCACAGCACTCAACTGCAGTTTTTTTTTTAAACCCTATGATATTTAACATACAATTTGCTATATATTTATGTTTTATGTTACTATATACTCTAGGAGATGGAAAATTAAATAGAATATCTATGTTGAGGGTAATATTTTATCACCGACTAAAGTCAGGACATTAAAAGGACTATTACTGGCCACAGTACTCCTCTACAAGCAGCTGCCTCCTTGTGGCAGGAACCTGAAACGTCACCCCATTTAAATAGGAAGATAAAATTCTCACATACATATTGCAGATTCAGACACAGTAAAACAAAAATATAACAATATATATATATATATATAAATAATTTAAACACAAAAAGTGGGAAGAGTTACAATATAGAAGTGTTTAAATGCACGCACACAATAAAAAGAAAACAAAAGAGAAAAAAGCAATGCTGGGTAAACTGATAGAACATTTATGTATCATGCGTACACATTTATAGGGTCTCTGAATTCTGATGGGTACTGCAACATAATGTTTGAAGAAATGCGTTTTATACACTCATTGCCAACCTGAACACATGCCCTTAAGTGATATGTGCACAACAGAGCTGTAACGACCCCAGGATTAACAAGGGGGAAAAGAAAAAAAAAGCATTAGTTGGCCATTGTCCCCTTCATGCAACGCCAATTGAACGGCATTTGAGCACAAGATTAAAGTATTTGTACAGGTTTGCCCCCCCAAAAAAACCCTTGAAAGGGCCCATGGTCAGATATGTTTAATACTCTTGGGGCCCGTTGACTTTGCATATTACACACTGGTGTCCACAGCATAGAAATATTGTTGCTTTGAAGATTCCATTTATAAAAATTCCTCCCAGGAATACTAAGCGCTAATGCTCTTTAACAAAGGGTCAACATTTTTAATGGTTTTAAAACATGGTTATCAAATGGGTTTTTTTTCACGGTTTGGTGAGACCGTTCTGCAGCATACTACTAGAAAGGGGACAGCCACCCAACAGGTATTTTTTTTTTAGCAACCTTGTATTTCATTCAGTACAGGTTTTCCTTCAAAATCAGCCCTGGTATGCAATATATGAAAAGTTACTTTTTATTGTGCAGTAAACCTCCAAAACTCTTTAGAATGATGTTTGAGGAAAACATGGCATTTCTCCAATCATCCAATTGTTGTACCCACTCAGTTTGTTAAACTCTTTCTATATAGATATATAATATTTATATAATTTTAAACTATATTTTGTATTCAGCCACTCAATTTTTAACTCTCTCATTGCTACATAGATTCTAACTAAAAAGGTTGTAACAGACAAAGTCATTTTCAGATGATATGCAGGTTTCAAGGTCAGTGAAGGAGAGGTCACCACTATGCAGAAGATAAGGGCAGGGGTGTGGAGTGCTGTGTGTATATGGGAAAGGCATGTTCCTTAGCAGGCACAGTCCTGGTGTGGAGGAGCCTGCTGGTCGGTGAGCTGAGGTCCTTGTTTGGCTCCAGTGACAGCTGGATCAGCTGTGTCCAAACTCTCCGACATCTTTTCACAGATTATGTCCACCAAGCGTTCAAATGTCTGCTTCACATTTATGTTGTCTTTGGCGCTGGCTTCAAAAAATTCAAAACCTGAAAGATAAGTTGAATAAGGCTTACATTGAAAAATCATTTGTAGCGAGACACTTGTATACCAGTATAGAGAGTGAGCTTGGAGGGGTGGCTACTTTACAACACACACAGGGACAAAAGTAGCCACCCTCCAGAAGGAAGGACAGTGTCAGCACCAATTTAGAGATGATTTGAGGATCTAAAGCCAAGTGATACACAAATAACATACATTTTTGTTAATAGTTAGGCTAGGTTCACACCTGCACTAAACCCAGGACGCGCATCCCAGGTGTCATGCGGTCCTGCACAATGAAGGCAGCAAATGCCGCGCGGCCACATTGATTTCAATGGGGTGACATCCGCGTGGCAATCGCAGAAAAAAAAGGTAGAAGTACCTTCTCTTTGCGATGAAACAATGCATGGCTGTTTTAGCCGCGATCGTGTTTAGAAGCACTGGAGGAAGCACCCACAGCACTATCGGTTCACACTTTGGCGACTCCTGACCGTGCAGCATCGTGCATGATTGCCGCACGGTGAAGTGTTGCCTAGGTGAGAGCCTAGCCTTTAAAAGGTACTTAAATGCATTTTTAAGATTTAACTCCTGAGTTTAGTGTCAGTTTAAGCACAGAAATGGTAAGGAAGATAATTATATATATATATATTGTAACAAGGACACTCCACTGTAGTCCAGGTAAGTCAAATCAAATGCAGTTTATTTAGGGCAAACAGAAATATATCTTGCATCAGCAGCAACATAAGACAGTTCCTTTTATATGGCTCAGTAGATTCGCTTATGAGCCCTCACTCTGCTCTCTCAGCAGTGTGTCGTAGCAGTCCTAGGGTCACCGACCTTACTGACCTCTCCCCTCGTGGGCACTCAAACACATCCCTCATGTGGCACTGGCTCTCTGTCTCCTCGGCTGTCTACGAGGTGCCTTCAGCACACACAGCCACCTGGCTCCCCTCTGACGTCTGGGTGGAGTCCTCCTGAACACCTCTGTTCCTCTTCCCAGCTGGAGCCCAGAACATTAGCCAGCACCCTTTTCATAAGGGCTATGCACAGGTGTGCAATCATTAGGTTCTGGTCCCTACTAAACCATGGACCCAGGAATGGAGATTTCATCCCTCCCAATTCCAGGATCCAATACCAAAACCAGGTTTTCTGGAGAGAACTGCAAAGCCAGTTATTTCCAAGCAAAATAGTTTGTTTCCTGGAACTGCTCAGTCTCTCTGGCTGAGAGTCCTGGGTTACTACAACCCCCAGTTCCACTGTGGGATTGCCACACAATACCAATATATATATATATATATACACACATACATATACACATACATACACACACACACCTATCGTTAATTTTCCTTTCCTGGTGCCAATACATGGCAGCATACAGGACCACTGTATGCTGCCATGTAGGGGTCAGAAAAGACAGAGATAACTTGTGCCACCCAACTTCTTTGAAGAGTTCTTATTAAACCAGCAACATGGCAGATTAAACCAGCAACATGGCAGATGGGATCTGGGCAATGATGGCACATACGTTACTTTTCAGCTTTGCAAAGCAGCCTCAAAATAAAACAAGTTAAAAATAATCAGACTGAGTACGCTGTTGAGTGGTATAGCATTGTAGTCTTTGTTGGCTCCAGAGGTTTAGGTACAGAATTTGAATTATGTTCTCACAATGATCAATGCACTTACCTAGATGTTCTGCCAGTTGTCTTCCTCGCTCTGAAGACACTACCCTCTCATCCTCCATATCACACTTATTACCGACCAGTAAAACCTGAGCATTATCCCAGGAGTATGTCTTGATCTGAGTGGACCTATTAAGTTAAAAAGAGAAACTTACACAAAATATACAATATTTGTCTATACCGGGAAACCTAGATTCAAACAATAATTGTGCCACAATATATATTACACACACATACAAATGTGGGACCACCCCCACACTGCAAGGGTTAAGTGCTGGGTTTTTATCCAGGGACAAAAAAAAAAAAAAAAGCTATACAGATATTCCTCGCTTACTGACTTACCTGTTTTGCGACCACTCGCACTTACGACGGACCGCCGATCCACCTCCGACCTTGCGCGTCAACTTCAGTGCGCCGTGTCGCCGGCGGAAGTGACGTCCTCCGATCTTCACTGCGGGTCCTGGTAAGTATTTCCTTTGCCAGAGGTACAGTACACCGGCAACGCTATACAGTACTGTACTAATGCAGTACAGTACTGTATAGAGTTCCTCACGTAACGACCAATCCGTTTAACGACCTGGTCGTAGGAACGGAACTCGGACGTTAAGTGAGGAATACCTGTACTAGCCTGAACTTTGCCGCTAGCTGTTAGACCGATCCCTGCTGCCTCTCGTTCCCTTTGCTACGTCGGTCTAAGGTCCTGTGAGTCATCACGTCCTATAAAGTGTACAGGAGGTGAGGTGAGGATGTCAAGGGACATTCTATCACTGGAGTGGAGGAGGGGACAGGAGGCAGGGACTGAAGTAGCAGCTTGCTGGCTCAGAGGTTCAGGTGAGTATAACTTTATAGTATACACCTATAGGCCTCAACCTTCATGACCCTCTTCATGATGATTCTCTGATTCCCCTAGACACTTTTAACCTCTGACTTCATGTACAGTTTGCTGCCATTCATTAGGACTGAAAAGAGTTCTGACTGGCTGGTCTAATGACCCCTTTGATGTTACATCAATTAAAACAATTGTGTACATCCTCTATCTAGTAGCAGATTTATGAACAGATTTATTTGGAGGAAAAAAAAAGAATCTCTACAGCTGTTTCTATTGTGTACAGTCAACACCACCCTGAAAACATTTTCATCAGCAGCCCAACTGGTCAGGAAGATCACAATAAACACCTGCTTAGCATAAGACTCAAGTGTGTTATACACCCCAAATATATCTTGCAGATATACTTCAATCATCATTTACAACATACATGAATATTGCATGTCTTGTACTTGGTGTGATCTTTGTTGGTAAACCACTCCTGGGGAAGCTAACCACGTTGAAACGCTCTTATTTTTACACTAAATGCCTGACAGTAGACTGGTGAAGTCTAAACGCTTTGAGAATAGTTAGGTAACCTATTCTAGCTTTCTGACCATTAATAAGAATTTGTGGAAGTCCTCAGAAATCTCGTGTTCACGCAATGACACACTTCCACAAACCGTGATGTTAACATTAGACTTGGATAGTGAAGACCCAGGTTACTGCTCTTTCATTATGTCAGGCCAGCAATGCTCACACCTTATCATCCTGAAAACAAACAAACACCTGACTGAAAAGCTCTCTAAACTTTGTATAACTTTAATCAATATTTAAATTACCAAAGTATAATGGTTTTTGACCCCAATGATTACCATTATCTAGTTTTAGCACTTGCTTGAGAAACAAATTATGTTTTAGGTCATATTTGTGCAAAAATATTGAAAACTTGTTCACAAAAAAAAAAAAAAGTGTTCAAACTTTTAGCCTCCATTCACACAGGTAACAGGCGGCCCATACAGATCCGTGCTGCGTGCACGGCCGTATGGGGCAGCTCCTGCGTGTGATTACACGCAGCAGCCTGTTCTTCTCTACGGGAGTACGAGGCCATATGCAGCCCTGCGCTTACCCCAAGTGTAGGTCCGTATGCGTGCGGGTGTCCCTGCTCGGATGTAGACGGGATCCATCCTGTCTGCGTAGGAATACGGCCACCCGCACGAACGTGCAGTTCGGGTGAGTGTAGGGTGGCGTTCAGACGCGTACTCCCATAGAGAAGAACAGGCTGCTGCGTACAATCGCACGCAGCACCTGTCCTTCCCGGGAGCTGCCCGATACGGCTGTGCACGCAGCACGCATCTGTACGGGCCGTCCGTTACCCTTGTAAATGAGGGCTAAAGCACAACTGTACTTCCTAGAGCCCAGGTGTCTAACACATGGCCCACCAAGCTGATGGCAGGTATCTCTTTTTAGCACGCCAAATTCAATGAGAAAACCGTCAACCAGCTGTTGAATCTGTCATTAGCAGTGTAGCCCTAGAATAAGGATCAACAGCACTCAGAGTTTACAAACAAAATCATCTATTTGAGACAATACCTATGGAAATCCTACCGCATATACATTTTTTAAGAACGCTACAGCCAAGAAATTGCCTATAAATAGGGTAAGTGTATATATCCGACAGCTATACTGATGGTAAACATGTGCAGTTCAGTTCAGTTAATTAACCTCCAACTACAATATCATTTTAAATGACCTATATTACTATCTGCAGGTTCCTTGTTCTATTCAAAATAAAAGGTAACTAAATATACAAGACTCTATGAGAATACCAACGTTTTAACTATCCAAATTTAAGTTTGCCAAAGATATTTATCATATAGAAGATATGTTACAACTTGTACTATCACAGCCTCTCATAAAAATGGGAATTAGTATAGAGTCTTCAGAACAGCAGTGGTTATAGACCGATCACTGCATTTATCTATGGATTACTCTCAAAAGATGATTGCTACACTGGTACCAGACACAGTGAAATCTATATTGTCATGGGAACATGCTCTTCTAAGTAATACTAAGCAAGAATAAATTGCTGCAGTACGAGTAGTTATGTGCAGCCTAAATTTCCTAATGTGTAAATTGCCAGTCGGCCCAGAGACTGCCAAGCTGAGGACATACATTGGGTACAATAACCATTAGGGTCTCTAGGCAAACCGATCTTCAGCACATAGGCAGTATTGTTTATGGGGGAGTAGGAGACATAAAATGTGCCACCAATGGGCAATGGTAACCACCTTTTATACATCAGCTAAATAATATATTAATATTTGATCCTTAGAGAAAGAAAATGCATGCAGAAATTCAACAATGAAAATGTGTGCAGAAATCTATAAAATGACAAGAAGCAATACATTCCAGAATATTTTAGTACTCACCAGTCCTGTACAGCATTAAATGATTCTTCATTGGTTATATCATACATCAAAATAAAGCCCATGGCACCCCGGTAGTAGGCTGTGGTGATTGTTCTGTATCTTTCCTGGCCTGCAGTGTCCTAGAAAAGAAACATGCATGTATGCTTAGAATACATGGCTAGCGTTCTGCCAAAAAAAAAAGCAAGTCTTAAGTTTAATCTTGTGTGCATACCACAGAAGACTCAATGCAGTTGATTTACAAAAGTCAAATAAGCTTTTCTATTTGCAAGAGAATTGTCCTTTTGGTTAGTGAACGAGGTGAAGAACAGCTATTGTGGAGGGATCACTCATAATACGGGCGATATGAAATGTATTGTGAGATTTATACCACAAACGAAACCAATAAGTGATCAAAGCCTACTTGCAACTAAATGCAATCCAAAAGTGCATATGTGCATGGACGTTAATAAATACACGTGTCATATAAATATGGTGAAAGTACGAATATAAAACTGATAGGTTAAATATGATAAGTTAAATAAGTTAATGAATAATGCATATGTGTGCCATATAGTGAAAATACAATGTGGATACTAAATGGTTGAATTATAAACCAGGTAAATCAGTCTGGCAATCGGCAACAATAAATAAAGAGGGCAATAATTTGAAGACTGATGTATAACCAATCTAACAAATCTAAAACCACATCTAATAGTATAAAGTGAATAAGTATAAAATATAAACGCACACTCCTTTTACGCGTTTCGTCGTAGAGACTTTCTCAAAAAGGTGTGAGGTGAAAGTCTCTACGACGAAACGCGTAAAAGGAGTGTGCCGTTTCCCCGCTGACACCCTGGAAAGAGGCTAGCTATAAGTTGCTTATGCTGTTGTACCTATGGAAGTCTGTAAGTGCAACCATTTTTAAACTACTCGATAAATAAAACATTTTTCATCTGCACTTAAATCCCGTCTTCTCTCCTTCGGTCGGTCTCCCCCTCGGCTTTCTGGTTGATCCCTCAGGAGTGTTCTCCAGCCTTGGAGGTTGTTTAACTATCGCCGATGAGAGGAAGTGTAGCCTGACGGCAGGAGAGGACAGAGAAACTTACAGAGAAGGTTTCCTTTTTCTATTTTGCGGACGCATCAATGGAAGTATAAACAAAAGACACTGGATTTCTAATAACATTCGGTAGAAAATAGACTATTGGTGTTACAACCCTCGCTTATACAATTTTATATTTATCCACCTATATTTATTCACTTTATACTATTAGATGTGGTTTTAGATTTGTTAGATTGGTTATACATCAGTCTTCCTTCAAATTATTGTCCTCTTTATTTATTGTTGCCGATTGCCAGACTGATTAATTTACCTGGTTTATAATTCAACCATTTAGTATCCACATTGTATTTTCACTATATGGCACACATATGCATTATTCATTAACTTATTTAACTTATCATATTTAACCTATCAGTTTTATATTCGTACTTTCACCATATTTATATGACACGTGTATTTATTAACGTCCATGCACATATGCACTTTTGGATTGCATTTAGTTGCAAGTAGGCTTTGATCACTTATATTGGTTTCGTTTGTGGTATAAATATAGCACGTATCGCAATACCAAGCGCAGCACACTGGTTCACAATTGATCACTTCGATAGATATTGCTGCAGCTGGATTATAATCTTTTGGATTACATTTTTTGATACTTTGATATTTTTATATTTTTGATACTATTATATCTTTTCCTATTTTTTCTGTATTTTGGTTTTTGATTTTTTCATATATCCTAGCGCAACTACCTTGGTCACCATATTGTGAGATTTGTAATACAAAATATTAGGGCTGCGGAAATTAACGATTAATTTCTCGATTAATCGTTAAACTTTTTGATCGATTAAAATTATTTTGATCGATAATGAAAACACTCACCTCTCCGCCAGGTTCCGGGAGTCACGTCGGAGATCCGGTGACGTCACGGATATAGACGTCACCGGACTCCTCCCCCAAGTGGCTCCGTCGGGGGGAGGAGTTCGGTGATGTCGATGTCCGTGACGGCTAACGAAGGGAAGGGGGGGAGGAGCGCCAGCCAAGCCAAGGCATTGGCCTATACACATACAGCACAGCATTGAAGTAATAAAATGAGCTAGGATCAAAGTACTGGAGCATGTTATTATTCTGAGTTGCCCCACTCAAGTGGCAGCCATATTGAGTGGGGCACGTGATATTAATAACGTGCTGGATTAGTGTTATCCTAGTTAATTGTATTTACTTCATTGATGTGCTGTATGTGTATAGGCCAATGTAGTTGGATCTGTATGTGCGTTATAATTAATCGAAATTAATCGATTAAAACAATTTTGATTAATCGAACACAAAAATTATTATCAGTAACAGCCCTACAAAATACTGATCTTAAAAGGAAATGTTTGGTGTACTGACATATATTTGTACTTTTACCTTGGATACAGAATTTGTAAACCCCATAAAAAAAAAAAAAAAAAAAAAAAAAAAAAAAGGCTTATACTGCTTCAATGGGGACAGGAGAAAATCTGCTGTGTTAAAGGAGGAGATGTGAGCAGAGGGGTGCTCCGGTCATGTCCCATGACTGCATTGTCCTGCTGCCTCAGCCTCCCCTGCTTACACATTGTTGGGGTGTGATCCCCCAGTTTCAGGCAGAGCTCAGAAGTGTACGGGTAGGGGGATGGTGGTGGTGAAGAGGCACCAGACTCCTTGAATGGCCACCTCTGCATAATTGTTCTTGGACTCCCTGATAAAAACGATGATAATGGCTGCAATAACGAAAACCGATAAAAACAATGATAATGGCTGCAATAACGAATCGATAAAAACGATGAGAATCATTGTCAACCTTTCTCATTATCGATTAGCTGCTTCTGTTAGTTTATTGTGCCCACGCTGCACCCCAGTTTCTCCCTGTTCCCCCCACTGTGCCATTCCCCGTGCCCCCCCCCCAAAGTAAAAAAAAAAAGTTTCAAAATACAAAAAATATAAAATAATGATAAGTGCCCTGACCCCACTAACGCACGCATACTAACGGCAACAAAAGTCCGGTTCACTTATGTATGAAAACAACGATTGTGCTACGCGTCAGGTAACGCCGCGTGAGCCAGTGCGAGAACAATAATAAAAACTTTAAAATCATTAATTGGTTAGAGTTTTTCAATTTACATTATTTAAATCCATGAAACGAATTCAAATGTTTAATATAATACAAACAAATTTTAAAAAGCTGCCGGGAGGAGAGCGGAGCCATGTGGAGGTGAGCTGCTGGGAAGGAGAGTGGAGCTATGTGGAGCAGAGCTGACAAGATGGCAGCTGGGATATAGGCAGCAGAGATGAAAACTAAGCAGTGGGAAGCTGAACTGCCAGAAGGGACGCTGGAATATAGGGAAGTGAGTTGCTGGGATGGGAACTGAGCTATAAGGAGGCGAGTGAGGGCTTGCTGGTGGATAATTTACTAAAAAATGAATCCTCAGTTTGAGCTTTCTGGGTCATGCTGTAATTCTACTAAAGTTTGCTTGCAAAACCTACATGTGCTGGTTGTCTGCAGCCCAACATCAACAGAGAATTGCATAGAGTTGCAATGACAGTCAACTTTAAATGAAGATTGACAAGTCCTGGCCTCAAGGCCATAATTCACTGTACAGCAAGCTAAGAGGGTTCCCTACTAACATTACAATTTCATACATTTTTGGTACATTAATATCATTAAATCTCTGGCTTCCCTTTCAACAACCCACACATTTCTGAGAGCAATCCCACTCCGTTTGCTCATGAGACCATTACTAATGTGTGATGATTGTTTTATCTAATCTAAGGTATCAAAACAGCTCCCATTGTTGATTTACTATCCTTGCAATGCAGCTGCACAACAGGAAGAGGTGTTATTGAACCAAAAAATGAATCTCTTTACATGCAGGATTTAGTTTGCTGACCTTACAGCCCTATCTTGGTATCAGCAAAAGATGGTGAGAAAAAAAAGTTAACTGTCTCTGACATAATATAGGATGTTTCAAAATAAGTGGAGGGGGAGTGAGGCTGAAGGGACTCGTCTAGGAGCCAGCTGGATAATGGTTTGGGTTAGCGTAACGATGTTATTTTAGCTGCCCAGGCAAAACAAGCACTTAAAAAGTAGTATAAAAAAAACCTCTCAAACTTATTTTATTTTTTTCAAATTATTTATCAAAACCACCAATGAACAAGCAGAGCAATAGAAGACAGTTTCCAGGGGTGCAAGTAACATACAAATCGTATTGATCAGTTTGTCCAGACACCAAAGATACAAACATCCTGCACCCCAGCGAGACTAATGAATCTGAAAACCTGTGCAGTCATTCATGGAATATTTTTTAAGATCATATATAATGGGAGAACAAGAAAGACTAAAAAAAAAACAAAACACCTCTCAAACGTTTTTTCAATAATGAATCCAAAATCAAACATTGCCCAGCAAAGCATTGCTTCACATTTTTGTCCAAACAGTTACAGTCATCAAGTTTCTGAACAGCTGCTTCTAAGTCTCAGCTCAGCTTCCCTAAACTTCCTGTCCAGAACAAGATCACAAAAAGACAGAGCCGACTCCAGCAACTGTTCATCTACTAGCTTGGAGAAGGGAGGAGAGGGGCCGGGGGAGTAGCTTGATTTGCTGTGTTTGTTGTGCTACCTCCTGGCCAACATGCACCCAATTCATCCTTTGCTATAAATATGCTCCAAGATGCAGGCTCTCATAGAGTTCGGACCGCACTATACAGAGCGGCCTTGATGAGGCAGTTGTGCAACTAAAACCTCTGTTTTAAACCTTAGTAGTTAAGGCAGTGTACTTTTTCTTGCAGGCTGGCGAGTGTGCTGGGAAATGTCTGTTTTTGTAATGTGTAAAGCCCTTCCATGTGCAACTTTCTTTAAAGCTAGTTATTAATGCGTTTGCTATTTGTTTCACGTGTGTTTATGGAGACACACACAGCTTACTAGCACACACAAGGGTGACTGCAGAGCACTCTGTTTGAGAAAGCAGTCACTCAAACAGGAAGTCAGGGCCAGTGCTCAGGGAACCAGCTGATTCTGCAGGAAACTAACACTTTTAAACATCAATTGTAAGTGATGTCATCAGCA